ATAAAAAATTAATTAATTTTTATATACATATAAAATAGTTTTATATAAACTTTATATGGATATAAATATTGGTAAAGCAGAGAGAACATTATTACATTATAACTGAAACAAAAGGCACACTTTGCAGAACACCTTACTCACATGCTCCAAATCTGCCCTTCTGTTTGGTTCCATCTAAACACGAACGAAAGTATTTATAATTTAATGCCAAAATTATATTCCATAAAAACTTAAATTGCAAGTGTATTTGTTTATTCTTCGTATCTGAAATTGACTATATGTGGTATAAGATGTAAAACGTCCATTATTGAATAAAATAGATATAAACGTGATATATAAGGTAACATGTAATGTATAAAAGGGAGTTTCTTTACATTTTCTTTATTATTGAATCACACAGATTCTCTATTAGTAAATATTAGAATAGTATGTAGAAAAAACTTTAATTAAAGCAACGATATTTTCACAAAGACTTTTCAGTTCTCAAAGATAACTAGATCTAGATTAAGAAAGCAACACACTCAACAAAGCATTTGACAAAAATTTTATGCTTTTACAGCAATAGAAATTATACTGTGATACAAAATATGGAAATGCACTCACTTGATCTTCTATCGTACGATGATCAGTCTCTTGCAGCCATGTACCGAGAATCACAGAATCGTTAGCGTGGCAAACTACACGCAATAAGGAAGTAGTGGTATTTGCAGGATTGTCTATAAGCGTGAACTCTGACACCAACATCCTTAGAAGATGCGTGTAGGAACCTAAATTACAATATCAGATAATAATGCAGACAAATAAAAAAAATGGAAGAGATTAATGCAAATTGATTTCAAATCATCTCACACAGAGAATGAATTTTACCTTCGAACGTTTGCGGCGGTAGCAGCAATAACGTTTCATATAAACGCAAACGAACCATAGCCGCAGGAGCTTTCAATTGTTGGCCATAATTCTTCAAAACGGGTGACAAACTGAAAGAAAGTGTGTGTATGTACAGAGAGAATTTCTGTAATCCAAATATTTTCTGTATCTTGTATTACATCTAAAAATATTAATATTCGTACTTTGTCAGCATCGCCAGAGCGGATTCGATCGGCGTTAGTAGTCGCCGTGTAATATCATCATTCAGAAGTTCCGGACAGTGTAACAGAAAGCTATACATGGCAGACAGCGCGCCGGCACGTCCTTCCAGAGTCACTTGCCACGTGAAGGCATCGCCGCGCGCTTTCTCGCTTTCGAGTTCCTTATTCGAGCGAGGGAAAGAATTTCTCCATAGGAGTAACATTCTTGGCAATAAGCCCTTCACCACTGCCGTACCTGTGTATTCGTATAAATTATATGTACATATACTTATATTTTGTACTTGACATAAGATTCATTTATATTACCTAGAGTCATTATCGCTCCTATCAAGAGCCATCCTGCATGCGTGCGATTTAAAGATAAACGACTATTTTGACTGGCGCTTCTTAGAAGTTCTTCCGCCGTATTGAAAATTATCTGGGGTATATCACAGAAATAAATTAATCTCACATTATATATAGATACGATCGATAATAAGTAATAAGAGCTTTTATTATACCTTTCCCTTAGTATGGGGAACACCCAAGGGTGATAGACGAACGCTTCCCAGCACCGCAGCGAGAGCGCTACTATAACCGGCTATAGCTTCTGGTGAGCTACGCATATTTTCAATCCCGTCGACACATCGGTCGATCAACGGTGTTATTTGACTCGGTACTGCGACGCATATGCACCGTAAACACCAAGAAGCTGCCAGTCTAGCGGCTTGACACGGATGTACCAGAACGGCCATTATAGTATCGATCAGATCTGACAAGCGATACATTAAATTATAATTAAATATCTCTCCGTTCAGAAAGATCACTCTCATATTGAAGAAACAAAAAAATATGTTTCAAATATGCAAGTACTTACTTAGAGATTGATCGGATAACAAATTCGTGGCTGTGGTACCTAATCCCAGTATTAGACAACCCATTTCTTGTAATGCACATACCAACAAATGCTGGCTAAATAACGTCTCTTGATTACAATCCTTAGCGTTTTCCGGACTAAAATCTGCAAAGCCATGTTTGTTGAAATTAAATACAGTTGCATTATCGCGTAAATCGTAAAACATCATTATTATTACCGATGGAATTCATTTGCTTCAGAATAATATGCGCTATCTCCTTACAAGCGGCAGCTTGAGCGCCTTCTCCCAACAGTTTGCCGATAGTACCGCGTAATATGAAATTGACGCATTTGCGCGAGTATACCGCCTCAACGTGTGAGCTAGCGGCTTTCGGATTTGTGACCAGGTCTAAAACATGCGCGACTAGCGCGCCGATGTTGCGTTCTAGCCAAGTGCCACCCAGCATTTGAACAAATACCACATATGCCTGCGAATATATAAGCGTTAAATCAATCTTTGATAAGTTCTTATTCTAAAAAAAAATTATTTAAATATACGTAATCACTTACATGGGTCACTCCAACTCGCACTTCTCTGTTTATGCTGGAGCTTCCTTTTATTATCTCGCCCGTTCCTTTCAAAAAGCCCACGCCGCCTCTCAAAAATCCGGACATCAGGATATTTAACACTTCTTCAAGCGACGTCTGTCTAACGCCTTTATTGTGTGTGACTATGCAAATATATGTAATACATATATTAGGAGAAATAATAGACATATATTTTTACAATATATTTTCGCTATAATTTATATACCTGTAGGATTTTTCATCTTGGGCGAAGGAAGCTGCGTCATCGCCACCAAGGTGCCCAGTAGTTTAGCAACGGAACATCTCACTTCGTAATTCGAGCCTTCAAATGCTCGAAAACATAACGTCGCAACACTTTCAATTTCCGTCGTATATAAAAACGGAGCGTGATTTAACATTTCCAACAAACACTATATAAAAAGAGATTATTATAATTATACAAAAACAGAAAATATAATCGCGACATTTTTTTCACAAATATAAAATACCTTTGCAGCAGCACATCTCACTGCCATCACTCTGTCGGTTAGATAATGCCTGGAAACTTTGTATATTTCCTTATGCACATTAGTTATTGCTGATCCCATCCCAGCACACACCTAATTATAATACAAATATAAAATAAATTATAAATATTTCATTTTAAACAGTTTAACAAATTGTACATGAAATTGTTTGTCACCTTTTCCAATGTGTACATAATCTCTATCCGCATTTGCGACTCAGCAGAACGCAAAGACTTTATAAGGATCTGCACAGTTTCCTCATATGATCTGCCCATCATTCTTCCCAGTTTTTCATACATGCATCCCACACAGCAAATAGCAGCTCTGAGGAAACGTATATTTTTCATATAATGTATATTTATATATTGCAGAAATATTCCATTGTAGAATATTAATTATTAATAAAATCAATTAATAATGATAAATTACAATTTTGTGGGCAAAAAGCTTGGTGAATCGTCTTTATTTCTCAAGATGTCATTGCATTTGTTGACAGTGTCAAAGAGCAAAAATGTATCGCCAACGCTAAATAGAGTAGCAAGACATCTTGCTATGAGACGTCGCGTGGGCGGACCGGGAGCTCCTTGCATATGTCTGGTCAATTGCTCCACTAACTTTTGCTGACATCCTTTAATATCGTTCTGTGCAAATAACATTTTTATCACAATAAAATTTTATTATAAATAGAACATTGATTGTATCTTTTTCAGTCACAGATTTTGTAGTAACACAAATGTCAAACTTTTATATAGATACCTTTTGAGCAGCAACCAGAACTTTGTCCAGGAAGCGCAACCACTCGAAAATGAAAACCGGCCGCTTAGCCTCCGGGATTTGATTAAGCGCATCCTCGTTGAGAGTCAAACTATGACTCAACTCCATCATCGTTTTAAGTAGACACACAAATACACAAGTTGTTCTCAAATATCACTCACTCTCTTCCTGCAATGTAATGATATAAAAATCTCTCTCGCTTAAAAATTAGCGCCTAATAACACAGAAACTGAGCAGATTTCAAGATAATTAACAGCGCAATTAGTATTGAGGTCAGTTCAACGATATTCGCTCATTTTTATTATTTTATATTTTGAAGTCAACAAATATACACTGATGCAAAGTGACAAAAAAAAGCGATAAGATATTATTGGAAAATTCGACATGTATACACACCACAGAAAACTGAATCTTATCGTTCAGTGGGCAGAGACATTTTTATCGCACACCGTGTATTCTTCGCATAGGATGACACTTCATCGGACTCGTGTAAAACTGGACGATTAAACACACGTTTGCAAAAATTCTCGCGTGACAAGATGATGCTTCACGATACTGCTGATGACAACATTATCCGGCATGTATCGCTCGTGAATATGAATTATTACGATGCGAATGACGAACTCAGTTTCTTCCATACACAGACACAGATGACAAATTGTAACGTAAGGTTGGGATAAATTAGATTAGGCTATATCTAGTCCCCCTCGTGCGTTCGAAAATCCTACTCATAGGAGTAAAGTAGCGTTTAATAGCGTTTTCGAATGAACGGGTCACAGATAAAAATTCAAGCCTTTTATTGGCAGAGACAATCCAATGACGTCATTAATCGCTCTGAGAGCGATTAAACCTGCTACATTCGAAAACGCTATTAATTGATCAATTAAGACATCTTTGTACCTTTTGACAGATCCCAAGTGAAAAAGAAACTTGAGGATTTGTTGATTGACCAATCAACAAAGGCCGTGTTCCGATATTCACTGCCAGTACTGAAAATCTATAGTATATGTGACGTAAACTATAGATTTTCAGTACTGGCAGTGAATATCGGAACACGGCCAAAGAAAGCAAAGATTTCTTTGTTCTGATTGGTCGATCAAACGTTACACCACATTGACGAGTAAATTTACGAACGCAACCAAAGCAAAATTGCAACGATTTCGTGCAAATCCGTCATAACGTCTTGCGCATGCGTGAAAATTTCCCTCGAATAAGCGTCGCTTGTCGCTTCTTTCGTTCATTTGCAATCGAACCTCTTGATGGGCGGGACGTACTCTGAAAAGGTAAGCTCAAAATTAAGGTACACGTTTTCGAAATCCATCGTCATCCGCGTGCATTCTTCACTAAAACATCTTAAAACAAGCTTCTTGCGCACGATTCTTCTTGAATATAATATTTTTGATTATATTTTCTGGTTATATTTTAATGCGGAGCTTGATCACGTTTATTTCGTTCCAAAAATGATGACACATTGTCTCGTTCGTATGATTGTCTCTTGATTACATCTTTACGTGATTCTGATTACGCCATTCTCACGGCGACACATCGCCGCATGCTCTGTCTTGAGATTTAGTTCTCATTTCTCTTTTAGTGCTGGATTTATTATAAAGCCTCCCTCGCTATATCGCTTCGAGCGTCGAAGAGCACCCGCTAAAAGTAGCTCGCTGTTATCACAAGCACAATTTTAGTGAGTACTATTTTGTTTCTCTGAGGGAATATAATTGAGATCTATCTTGCGAATATATATTTATTTATACGCCTCTTTTCATTTAGTTATTATTCTCATTTGAATTGCTTTCAAATCATTCCGATCGCTTGTTAATCAACACTTTTACGAGTTATATTTAAAAATATCGCTTTATAAAGTTACTCATTTATCGAATATTTCTATTCGTCATTAAATATGATAATATACAAACGTAAAAAAGAACATTACATCTCTATACAATAAAAAATTTATTATATTGCTGGATAGATAAATTTGTTTATTGAAAAATAAGATTCTTAATATAAAGGAAAAGCACATGAGACAGAATAATTTTTTCACTTATGAACATAAATTTATATATTTTACTTATATTCTTTGATGTGCTTTTAATATATAAAAAAATATATATTAATTATGTGATGTACTTTACTGCCCCAGTCTGAGAACTGTGACTGAATCAGTTTTCTGAGAATTGTTTTTATTTAATTTTTTTTTTTTTTTTGAGTCTTAAATATATCTTAATATATACATGTATTTCATTTATATAGATGGAGATTGAGGAAGAAAGTATGACAAATAGCAAGATTTATTGTAACAACAGGATTCTTCTTATGATCAGGAGTTTATGTAAGTTAAAATTTATGTTATCTATATCTCATTTTTTCCTTAAACTTGGAATCAATAGTTTCATCAGCATTATTTGTCAATATCCTAATTTGCAATTCACATATGATGAGTATAACGTTAATACATCGCCCCCGTCATTAAGTATGATAATATACAAATGTAAAAAAGAACATTACGTATCTATAAAATAAAAAATTTATTATATTGCTGGATAGATGAATTTGTTTATTGAAGAATAAGATTCTTAATATAAAGGAAAAGCACATGAGACAGAATAATTTTTTTACTTATGGACATAAATTTATATATTTTACTTATATTCTTTGATGTGCTTTTAACATATAAAAAAATATATATTAATTATGTGATGAACTTTACTGCCCCAGTCTGAGAACTGTGACTGAATCAGTTTTCTGAGAATTGTTTTTATTTAATTTTTTTTTTTAGATCTTATGTGAAATATATCTTAATATATACATGTATTTCATTTATATAGATGGAGATTGAGGAAGAAAGTATGACAAATAGCAAGATTTATTGTAACAACAGGATTCTTCTTATGATCAGGAGTTCATGTAAGTTAAAATTTATGTTATCTATATCTCATTTTTTCTTTAAACTTGGAATCAATAGTTTCGTCATCATTATTTGTCAATATCCTAATTTGCAATTCACATATGATGAGTACAACGTTAATACATCGCCCCCAGTCAATCTGAATACATGTGACGAACGTTGTTTCTGAAAAATCAATGACTTCAATGAGAATGTATAAATATAACAATAGGGTATATAATATGGCTTATATATATATTGATTATTATTAATAATGTTATATATATATATATATATATTTTTTTTTTTTAGATTTTCATCTGGAAAATGGATGAGGGTGACCTCTAACCATGAAGTGAAGTACAATATGAATTATGTAAGTTACTAAGTTTCTTAATAAAATTATGTTAGTAGGAGATATAATATTATATTTTGTTTGTTTTATTTTCTAAGTAATCAAAACATGATGAATAATTTTAGTTATCCCTGTCTTACATAAATATGGTGATAAAGCTTTTCTGATATAATTATAAATATTAATTATTTTGACAATATTATAATAACTTTGAAAATTTACGGAAACAATTTCTTTACAGAATGCGAGAAATATGTGAACTGAAGTGTATATATATGAGAAACAGATAAATATCAATATACACTGCACAATCGCAATGAGTGCATTACATTGAAGTTTCTTATGGCGAGGTAAGAACTTTTCTTTCTAATTTTGGTCATTTACTTATTTTTAGATATATAATCTCTCTCTGATATGATGATTATAAATTTGACAAGCATATGTCTGAAATGTTCTTGCTGCTAAACTTTTAGTCTGATAACTGAATATTACAATTATTTTAACGTTGTATGAGTGCTATACATAATAAATATTCTATGTTCAATTTCAGTTTCATAATCAATAACAACACTCATACATGTGATTTATATAGACACTATTTGGAGGTAATTATATTAAAATACTAATTCAATTATACGAGTATTAATACTTGGAATATAATATAGAATATGATGTAAAAATTATACGCTATTCTGACTTATTTGTGATTAAAGCTTGCCCTCGCTGATTTTGTTATTAAATACAGATTCCACAATCCTTTTCTTTATATATGCGACTTAAAGGATTATCTTTGTTACAGATGCGTCACTAAATGCTACTCTAATATACAAGTGGAACATTTCTAACGTAAAGGTAACAATCAATTAGTATTATAGCGACATATTTGCATCGCATATAACTTAAAATTTTTTTTATTAATATTTATGATTAACATAATTATATATAAGATAAAAATGTAAATTATTTCTATGCATATCCATCAGGATAGGTTCTAATTAGTCACAAAGTATATTTTAGATATATTTATTATTTTTTGTAATGATGTTTTCCATAATATACGCTATGATGTATAGTGATAACTATCTATTTTGCTGAAGCATAATAGATAAACGATGTAAGTTGCAATTTTCGTGTATCATTACTCTACAAGCTTTGTTATATTTTTTAGATGGACATAGAAGACAAAAAATAGAAGAAATTACATATGTACAGCGAATAATGCATGTTATGGACAAGTAATAAACAGTGAAATATTCCATAGAAATAAGATTTTTATTGAAACCTTTTACATCTAAGGTACAAAATGCGAAGTAATACGCGTTCCTCTTGGACTAGATACCCATTTCGTGAGAACGTAATAACGACGCGCATGATCGCACGATGTTATTGCAAATTTATATTAACGATCCTGATAGCGTCATTGCAAGATCTTCGTCTGTACATATAAAAAACCATGTTTTGTTCATCTTTGTTTTATGTTGCAAGACAACAACAAAAATATTAATAGAGAGTCCGGATATGGAAGTTTAGATTATCCTCCTATAAAACGAAGAAAGGAGAAAGAAGTATAATATTCATTTTTAGTTCCTCAATATTCAAATTCGGTTGTAACAATATTAATAACGTAAAATATTTATCGAGGTAAACTAATTCTACTTTAAGTGAATGCATGGTAAAACTTGATCGATCACACGGAGAGCAGATTGTAATCAAGCACTCAGTGTATAACACAAAAACACAAGAAATACTATGTATATATATATATTTTTTGTAACGTAATTGCACTATAATTTATATATATATATATATATATATACACATAACTAAAGTGTACCCGTCTGGGCTGTCTAGGATAATCAATAACTAGTGTGTAAAGATTCAAAAAAGTATTCTTATACTAAGTCGCCAACAAACGGTTCGCAAGATTTCTATCTTTTATCTATAAAGTGTGCAATGATATACGACTCTGTATCGTACATTATAAAAATCACACGCGCTCGTGGGCGAGTTGGTCGCGTCTGTACACTTTTAATAATTTGTTGCCGGCCGCGCCGAAGGCCGGTGGAATGGAAACTCTCGCATTCTCGTCCTTGACATACACCGCGTAGTCAGCTTTATCAGCGATCGCCATGTGAGCAAAGGATAACGTCGAATGTTCCGTTGACGTGAACGAGTTAATTGATATTGCGCGCGATCGTATTCCTCCTTTCTTTAATGAATCACATTATGTCATCTCGGTGAACATTTTAATTCCAGATAGCTATAGATATAGATTCTCGCAACGTTGCCAATGATTCCTAATGTTGCAATACTCGATCCTAATCCGTTATGGGATTTAGCTTCCGTTCATATATTCATTAGATGATTAAGATCTTCCCACGATCAGCACATTCAATTATTAGATAAATATTCTTTGTTTAAGTTTCATACTTCCAGCATTATACTTCCAAATTTGGTTGAGTAACAATGTATAATTGATCAATGAGATTGAAAAATAAACGTAAATCAATCTCTTGTATATATAATTTAAATTCGATTACTATGAATATCTTTTTACAAGCTATCCATAGTTAGAATTAATATCAATAAAGTAGTTTATATACATCAGACATAAAGTATTCTCTCGAAAGACTCGCGGTATATTTGGAAACATTTTGAATACATCCGCAACGTTTGCATCGATATGATTAGACATTACATATTTTTGTCACACATCAGGCTCTCGAAAACTTACCCTAATCTTTGTTCATAGTTCGATAATTACAAACGTACCTCGTTTTCATCTGTCACCTTTTACAGAAACAGCTTTATTGGTTTTACGAGGTTTACGATTCGAGTAAGCTACTCTCTCGAATAAATCGGCATTCATTCTGCTTGTTATGTCGCTATCTTCCTGAGTGACCCCATTAGCACCTTTCACTGAATATTTATATGAACTACGGCATTTACCTGACCATTACCGTTCGCTATACCGATACGCCGCTATACATCATATCTACATTGAGCATGTCTGCCAGTTGTCACAACTGGAGCCGGTAATTTGTGATAGGATCAAAGTCTTTTTGGTGAGTAGAATTTAAGGCCATCACGTATCCCCACAGCCGCATGGCGGTCGTGCAGACCCTCTGTATTTCGTGTACCTCCTCAAAGTCTAAATCGGCCCGCCAGTGAAACGGCGCGACTTTGGAATTCCGGAAGGTGCTTGATACACCTCCCACATCGTTCTTTGTATGTGTGTCCAGGAATCTCTTCACATTCGTGTGAAAGTTCAAACCGTAAAAATTGTAAAGCTCCTTCACATGCCTGTAGGGATCCACGGAAAGGTCCTCGTAGCGCACTACTCTGTTTATCACGTACAAAGTATAAAGTTAAATGTTCAGAGATTTTCGCAATTTATTGAGATATCATATATATTAACATGACACCCGATTTAAGACAAAATCGTTTCGCATGTGAAATCAATTTTTAGTGATAAATATCAAATATGTATGATTTGGAAAAGCAATGTAGTATACCTGAAAGAACGTGGGTATTTTTTCGAGAATTCTACTGCCGCGTTAAAATCCGACACCATATCGGCGCAAACTAGAGCTGGATCGGAACAATCGGGTTTAGCGGGACACCATTCCCTGTGTTTTCTAGATTGCAGAATGCCTCTTGGATCGCGAATGAGTAGAACTAATCGCACACCTAAACTATAATATAAATAAATATTTGTTATATTTTAAGATATTTTTATAATGTGAAGCGATATAATATATCCAAACGAGATCTAAAAAACGTCTTTTAGACGTTTTAAAGCTTATCATATTCTTACTTTTCTTCAGCCAAAAGCGTCTCTGCTGCACGCAACCTCAATCGTACGAGCTTCATTGATTGGAATGGGAAGAGCCGGCAAAACTTGGCGACGAAACGCGGATCCCAGCAGACGCGTTTGTGCGCCTGGCACTGCCGCCACAAGTGCGTGTTATGATTGAAGACCCAAGGATGAGTCTTCCCATAATTCAAATACCGGTCTGCAATAATTACAATTGTACATGATTGATCATTAACCGATATGATTGCAAACTCAAGGCGTATAAAATTACCGAGCTCTTTATATTCGCAATTCAGCAGGGAGATGATCCTCGTCAAGGATTCATCGGCGAGCGGCGGCTCTCTGATTTGCACAATTCCATAATCCAGCAACGGTTCGTAATGATAAAAATTGGCCGGATGCGCATTTACCACGTCGCCGAGGAACGTGCTGCCACTTCGCCAACTCGTCAGAATTATACTCCTCACGGGTCGGCCACCTTTTTCCATCACCAGATCTTCAAGTTTGCTACGGTACATGGAGAATGCATTGATTTTTTTTAAAGATACACACTTGCGAAAGGATTTCTAAAGTGACAATCTCTCTAGCGCATATAAAACTTACCTCACGTTTACCCCATATCTTCCATTTGGGTATTCATAATTTTCCATTTCCCTTTTAATCGCCCTTCTTTGTTGATCAACTACTTCCTGAATTTCGGTGATCGTGGCATTTTCTGTGTATCCCGTAATATAAGCCTAAAAGATAGATTAAACCGATTACTATAAAGAAAGAATTATTATAGCGACCGTTATTTCATTAGCGACATTGATCCAAATAAATGCACAGTGTTAAAACATACTTCAATATAATGAAAGAGGGGCGTATATGCAACATATCTCAAATAAATAAACAGAAGTTTAAATTTTTTTTGTGGCTCAATCGCATAGAAGCAGACTTCTACAGCACAGGCATATTTTAATCACGCCGCTAGTTCAATGAGAATAAAACTTTAAATCTCGTAGACTTGTGCAAATGTTAATTTGTTTAATTACACGGAGAATATTTGTTTATATAACTTCACACAATTTCTTAAATAAGCAAAGCGAGAATTTACTTGCAAGCATTATTAAAAAATGGGAAATGCGTTAGTGAAGATTAATGTTAGTAAATAATAAGTAATATGACACTTCACTGAATTGATTTTAATCTAATCGATAAAGTCAAGTGCGCAGCGGTACACAATAAAGGAAAATAAAGCTTATAAACAAGCATCAATCTTTTTTATAGAAAATATAGTTCTATTTCACGTTTTCTTTATTCTATTTTATATATATAATTGTTTCTATTATTACATTAATAGCTAATAACAATGGTTAATTGATAAGAGGTAATTAATTGCTGACAGTTAATAACAATTAATAATATTTTATTATAGATAAATAATTAATAATGTTTTAATGTTTTGTCCGTAAAAATCTATATATATATATTGCATTTCATTAATTATCGAGAGTAATACAATACAAAATATGAATGAAAAATAAGTATTCCTATAAAGCTAATTTCTTTTCTTATTTGAGTTGCGTTAATATCGCGATAAAATAAGGTAATCAAGCGACAATTGGCATTCTAACAGCAAACAAGTTCTAACGAAAAATGAGGATGACAGTTTGCATTACTCGAATCGCGATACATACGTGCATACCTGGCTTACCGTTACCGGTTCTTGAATTTTCGTGGTCCTTGGCCTTATCTCAACATCCTATATCGAAGAAGAAAGCATCGACGTTTTAGCATTTTGATTGTGCGTTGTGAGCGCAAATGTACCACTGATGTGATATAGAAAAATTCTTTTTCTCCCTCTTTCTCAGTTTAGGTAGTGTATTAATGTTCTTGAAGGATGCAAGTGCAAGTACACACACACACACACACACACACTTATTTTATCGACTTATACAATGATCGATTGCGCGTTTATCGACACTTAAAAAAATGTTTACAGCGATTTTTCAGAAAAAAAGAGGACGGTTAAACGCTAACGGAACGTTATTATTCTTCCAGTATTCAACGTGTTAACCGTATTTTTTTTTCATATAACATATAGCAGAAGATAGAAGAGGTTTTTTAGAGAACAGAAGTAAATAATTTTTTAGAAAACCGCTGTAAATAATGTGTAGAAAAGAAAACAAATCGACCCAAGCAAAAACGGCCAAATTCAATAAGTAACATCCGCAATCAATATAAGACTATAGAACGTACTGTATCCATGCATCATGTTTATATAGGTTCGTTCGTTTCAGCTGCACCTTCCGCGTGGAAAAGGAAAACGGATCGACACGGCCAGACTTCGAAGGGAGAAGGAGAAAACGGACGAAAGTGTAGAAGGTACAACCGAACCACGTGACACAGAGCGTATATTGCGCTGCGCCTACACCAGGCGCGCCTGGCACGAGCCGCAATACGGCTCCGTCGACGTTTCGCCGACTTCTCGCTTTCGGTCGACCGTTAGTAGGCCACGATCGTCGCTGGTCGTCGCGATGAACGTCATCGTCGTGATCGCACGCCGGCAGCGCGACATCCGGGTCCTCGAGACGGCCCGCGGCATCGAGCCGCGATTCCCGTCTCAGCGTCGAGATTGAGCTGACACGAGCGTCACATCGTGCAACGAGTGCACGAGCACGAGGTGAGAGAACAAGACAGAGAGAGAGAGAGAGAGAGAGAGATAAGAATTCCGTCTGTATTCGATGGATAAAGAGCGAGGAAGAGAGAGAGCGATGAAGTCTCCTCCTCCTGTTTACAATTCCCCTGTGCAGTCAATGTTTATCGCCGCGTAATCACTGTCAAACGGAACGAGAAGCGGAATTCGCGCATCCGTCGACGATACAGCTTCAAGCGTGCGACTTTGTCTCCTCCTTTTTTTTTTCTCATCGCAAATGAACGGATCTCCCCGCTTCTTTCGCGCTTGCATTCAGCATCACATCAGCATCAGCAGTGCTGTACGATTCCACGAGCCGGTCTCATACGCGATATTCCCGTCGCGTTTTACAGACAGTAAACGCGCGATCGGATGGCTACGCTGCGTTAATTAACTGAGAAAAAAACGGAGGAAAAACAAATAAAAAGGACTGCTCGATTGCGAGAGATCGGCGCGAACGGGATCGATTTTTCATTCGCGTACTCGGTAAAATCAGATTAAATTAACGCTTTATATATATAACATATATATATATATATATATATATATATATATATATATATATATATATATATATATATATATATATATATATATATATATATATATATATATATATATATATATATATATATATATATATATATATATATATATATATATATATATATATATATATATATATATATATATATATATATATATATATATATATATATATATATATATATATATATATATATATATATATATATATATATATATGTGATAGGAGGCATTTAAAGTCGCGAGACGATACAAAGTGCGCGTCGTCCTTGCCAATTGATCGACGGAATTTTTTTACGGTAGAACGCGTTTGATAATCGTCCGCGGTTGTGCTCGGATGCGAAATTTATTATACGCTATATTATGCCGCGAGATGATAATGCTCGACAGATAGCGTACGGCTTCGATGAACGTAGAGGAATTTTCGCGATCGACGGACCATGGCGAGGTTTCATTTAGCAGGGAATATTTCGCACAAGGTGAGACGAATTGCGTTCCTATTATGCGTAATTAATTGCAATCGATCGTTTCGTACTCTCGCTTCTTATCGTGTTACCCATCCCTCCGCTATCGCCCAACTGAAATGTGCTCTTTTTATCGTTGACGTGATTTTATTAAATCAAATTCACCGCCGTTTCTTATCGCCCGCGATTACGTGATTATCAACGGAATTTTAATGAATACAAGGATTTAAATTATTGACATTATTCTGTGCAATAATGTTTTAATTATAAAGAGCAATTGCTTATATCGTTTTTAATTACTCTGCTTCTGGAACAATGTATTTTTTAAGATGTAAACATTTTACGATCTTCTCTCTCTGACAAAAGTGAAATTATTGAATATTTGTTCATTGTTTTCTGTTATTATAGAAAGTAAAATTGCAATAATTAGATAAAAATTTATTTGTTTATTATATCATATTTAAAAAAAAAGTACGAGGAGAGAGGAAAGCAGATTGCAGAATTTAAAATCTTAGAAATATATTAATTCCTGTAAATGTTATTTTTATAATATAATATTTTTTTCGCTAAATGTTTTTATAGCTTCAATTGTATTCTCCCATTATTATTTTCAATCTGTGTAAACTATCTTTATCTTGTTCAAGTTCCTGCACTTTATAGGAATAAGGATGTCGAAGCGGCTGAGTTTTTATGGTCTGGTAGCCCTGGCGTCCATCTGCATCTTCTTCCTAGCATTTAACCAACGCTACAGCAGCTACCTCGAGCATCGACTGCAGCCGGTGATATCGGTCAGTAAAAATTCGGAGGTGGGGATTGCTCTAAATTGAGTCACGCCAAACACGCTCTTTCTGACGGTAAAGTCTTTTGCACCTCTAACTCTTTCTTATCAATCTCTTACACATTAACGATACTTGGCAAAACGAAAACTCCGCATAAATGATCGACGCACATTCTTCTTTCTCCCTTTATTTTTCCCCGTCTCAAATTTCCTTCCTCTTTCATGCACCGTTTCAGGACTATCGTTTACAAAATGTTATCGGAGACCGCTGTATCAGCGGATAATATTTTGTAAATTGTACAAAATGTGCTATCAGATGTTGTCGAGGAAAGATAGAAAAGATAAAAAAATTTAAAGTTAATGATTTATGATACTAGAATTTTTCGAAATGTTGTTGATTAACCTTGTTTGTAATATTTAATTCTGCGTACTGATAATGTATATTGTCGTTTGATAAATCTTTTTCGTACGTCTGATTACAATGTCTGGAAAACAGGTGCAATATAATTATTTATCATGGTTAGCATGCTTGCGCGTAGACTCTCACTTTTATAGCAATTCACACTCTTAACTTATATGATAATATAATAGTCTCATGGAGTGCACATACACACACACACACGCGCGCGCGCGTGTGTGTGTGTGTGTGTGTGTATACCATGAGACTATTATATTATCATATAAGTTAAGAGTGTGAATTGCTATAAAAGTGAGAGTCTACGCGCAAGCATGCTAACCATGATAAATAATTATATTGCACCTGTTTTCCAGACATTGTAATCAGACGTACGAAAAAGATTTATCAAACGACAATATACATTATCAGTACGCAGAATTAAATATTACAAACAAGGTTAATCAACAACATTTCGAAAAATTCTAGTATCATAAATCATTAACTTTAAATTTTTTTATCTTTTCTATCTTTCCTCGACAACATCTGATAGCACATTTTGTACAATTTACAAAATATTATCCGCTGATACAGCGGTCTCCGATAACATTTTGTAAACGATAGTCCTGAAACGGTGCATGAAAGAGGAAGGAAATTTGAGACGGGGAAAAATAAAGGGAGAAAGAAGAATGTGCGTCGATCATTTATGCGGAGTTTTCGTTTTGCCAAGTATCGTTAATGTGTAAGAGATTGATAAGAAAGAGTTAGAGGTGCAAAAGACTTTACCGTCAGAAAGAGCGTGTTTGGCGTGACTCAATTTAGAGCAATCCCCACCTCCGAATTTTTACTGACCGATATCACCGGCTGCAGTCGATGCTCGAGGTAGCTGCTGTAGCGTTGGTTAAATGCTAGGAAGAAGATGCAGATGGACGCCAGGGCTACCAGACCATAAAAACTCAGCCGCTTCGACATCCTTATTCCTATAAAGTGCAGGAACTTGAACAAGATAAAGATAGTTTACACAGATTGAAAATAATAATGGGAGAATACAATTGAAGCTATAAAAACATTTAGCGAAAAAAATATTATATTATAAAAATAACATTTACAGGAATTAATATATTTCTAAGATTTTAAATTCTGCAATCTGCTTTCCTCTCTCCTCGTACTTTTTTTTTAAATATGATATAATAAACAAATAAATTTTTATCTAATTATTGCAATTTTACTTTCTATAATAACAGAAAACAATGAACAAATATTCAATAATTTCACTTTTGTCAGAGAGAGAAGATCGTAAAATGTTTACATCTTAAAAAATACATTGTTCCAGAAGCAGAGTAATTAAAAACGATATAAGCAATTGCTCTTTATAATTAAAACATTATTGCACAGAATAATGTCAATAATTTAAATCCTTGTATTCATTAAAATTCCGTTGATAATCACGTAATCGCGGGCGATAAGAAACGGCGGTGAATTTGATTTAATAAAATCACGTCAACGATAAAAAGAGCACATTTCAGTTGGGCGATAGCGGAGGGATGGGTAACACGATAAGAAGCGAGAGTACGAAACGATCGATTGCAATTAATTACGCATAATAGGAACGCAATTCGTCTCACCTTGTGCGAAATATTCCCTGCTAAATGAAACCTCGCCATGGTCCGTCGATCGCGAAAATTCCTCTACGTTCATCGAAGCCGTACGCTATCTGTCGAGCATTATCATCTCGCGGCATAATATAGCGTATAATAAATTTCGCATCCGAGCACAACCGCGGACGATTATCAAACGCGTTCTACCGTAAAAAAATTCCGTCGATCAATTGGCAAGGACGACGCGCACTTTGTATCGTCTCGCGACTTTAAATGCCTCCTATCACATATATATATATA